GCAGGTTGTTCCTGTGTCTGACTGAGCCGGCGTGGACATCTTTGGAACTAGGTCAATTTTCTTGACAAGATAATCCCATCTAAACTGTTGTTGGGTAAGCAGCTAAAATAAAACGGTTCACTGTTTCATGCAACGGCTTAATGGAAGTGACCAACCAGATGTTCTAATTAGGACAAGACTATTGGTGGTTTTCCAAGGCCGTTATTGACACTGATGTCTCTGGATTGAAGCCACTGAAAGCTGGCGTTAATATTTACTTTGAAAGTCTCTAAACTGCTTCCACTGCAGGTTATCGATGCAGATTAAAACCCTGAAGCTGTTGAGGAAAATCCTCTCACATCATACTGGAAGCTGTCACATCAGCAGTGAGTGATTTTTTGGCCAGTATGTGGTATTAAATAAAAAGGTCAATATAAAGCTGAAACTATAGCAAGTAAGTATATCAGCCTGTCCACTTGTAATTATCCAGATTAACAGTAAAATCACAGCTTTTCTCTGGAAATCAGATGTTCAGCTTGACAAGCCTTGCGTTTTCTGTTTCTGCTGCTTCAGACTCCTTTTGTTGTTCTCTGATATGTGAGGCCTATGGAAAACTATGCTCTGGATGCCGACAGTACGAACCTCCTGATCTAATAATGCAACCACAGATCACTTAACTACAGCACACTTCAAGTCAAAGACCTGACATAAAACAAAAAGTAACCCACAGCTTTAAGTTCGAGGAATTGTTTTCAAGGAACCAAAAGGTTCCTGCAGACTATTGTTCACCTCTTTAAATACAAATCAAATCTTTAAATGCACCTTATCATGCCCATTTCCCATCTCCCCTGAATATCCTTAGCAAATATCCAAAGCAGGTCCTAGACTTCATTGTAAGCTCATCTGTTTCAAGGTCTCTTCTGTGGCTCCATAATATCGATACAAGAGAACAATATTCATAAAACTTTTCACACAGCTACAGGTTTTAAAATCACAGCTGAAGTAAAATGCTGGCCAACCAATCCAAAGCTTCTGGCATTTTTGTAAAGTACTTTTTGGGGGTAAAAGATTTGCCCTTTCTTTAGACCTTGGTCCCTATAGTGGAAAGGGAGATCTTGTAAATGTTCCCAGTTCTGGGTGAAGGTTCCTGGGGTGGAAACATACTTTAGACTGCTGTATCTGTCCCCGAGGACATTGAGGCCATGTCCTCAGTATTTATACAGGAACTTTGGGTGTAAGGCAGCAGGGACTTTACATTCTCCTTTTGAGAACATAATCATCATGTACTGTCATACTGTCTTACTGTTTGTTTGAAACAAGAGGACCTGAAATAAAAGTGTGAGGACGGGGTACACTAGTTGCTACGTCTAGCTGATGCTAAGCTAAGATATTGTTGTTCTCTTTGCTAACAAAACCCTCTAACCGAATTTAACCCAAACTAGTAACTGCTTTCAATGTACTTTTATTTTTAACATGACCAACAAGTATTTTGTTTTATTTAGTCCAGAGAGTGTGGTGCAGATGCTCTGCGTCCAGTCAACAACCCTGACTGGGTAAAGGAAACCCACTTTTGCAGATGATGAATCCAGAAGATGTGCGGATAAATGGTTTCGGAGATTTGTGGCATTTTCACAGTATTGTAAAACAAATCAATCTCAGAATTTCATGAATCAATATTGGCTCATTCAAATGAAGATGAATCAGAATCATATTTATGTTCTATAAGTCATATCTTCATAATGTAAAATACAGTCAGCTATACATCCATCCATCCATTATATATATCCACTTTACCACTGGGTCACAGGGTGGGTGATGGGTTGTCTGAATCAGGTACCTTCTGATTTAGATAACCCCTAAATAAATAAAATATGAATTAATCTAACAAATTAGCTATAACACTTACCAGTATACCTAAGTGTGTCACAAAGCCTGGCTATGGTCCTGGTTATATTATAGTGAGGGCGTTCACCAGAGTAAACATCAATAAATCATTAGTGCATTAATTATTTGTATCTCACTCTATGTTTATCCTGCTCAGTGTGTGTGTGTGTGTTAGTCAGTCAGGCATGTATTGTAATTGCAAGCAGCACAATTAAATTGATAAAGATATATTTGGTTCAAAATGCTGCCCCTTTTCAAATAAAACCAGGCAGTCAGTGTTATTTCACTGAACTGACATTATCCTTACGCTGTGTGCTGAGGCACAGGTTTCATTGTTAACATGCAACTGTGTTGAAGGAAATTATGCTGGTGATGTTATTGTGAGAAATGTTACACAGTGAATGACTGTGGCTCATATGAGCTCCATGTCTGAGCTACAATAGCCCTTGAGGCTAACAGATGGCCAACCTGTGGCCCTTCTACTGGAGATCTACATTGTGTGCATGTTCAGTTTCGTGTGCGCGCGCGTGTGTTGGGTTTTTGAGCTGCATTAACTCAGATGTCATTCCTTTGTTGTGAGAGGGCGATGGGAGATGGGATTCTGCTCCACAGAATGGCCTGGTTATTTAAAGCAAAGCAACACAACAAAAGAGGGAGACTGGGAAGAGCATGTGAGATAGTGAAAGAATGGATTCAAGTCATATGTTTACCTGCCAGTGGTGCTTTTTCTGTATTGTTGCCATAGCAACACCGGCTCGCTCTTTGTGCATGTGTAACTCAGCCGATCACCAGTGTTGCCATGAGCCCAGACAGACACATCCTCCGCTTCAGTGATAAATCTTTTATTTTACGTTCAAACTCTGTTTCCTGAGATGGGTCCAGATAAGACATCACTGCTGCTGTCAGCCTCTGTATCACCCAACACTATAATGTTTTGAGATCAATGATTCAATCCAAACTAATCATCTTAAAATGAGCAGGGCAAACATCAGTGTGGAGGAAAGAAATGGGCTAACCAGATCATTTAAAATGAACTTGAAGCATGCTGTATAGTTACTGTCCTACACAGGGGTTTTCTCCACAGTACATGCAAACACAACCACTGACTCCTGTGTTATTCATATCAATCATTTCTACATCAAGCTAAAATTCACATGAAAATAAGAGACTGAACCATAATTTTCCTCATTGTACGATATATCAATAATAATGCACATTCTCAATATTAAACAAATGAATTGTACTGTACCTTTCTTGCTTATAGGTAAATAAATAAGTAATTTCATGCACCATAGTGTGTCCAGCATTATTATAACATAGAATAAACTAAGTGAGTAAATCCTAAACAGGAACTGAAGTCTACATTATAACAAATAAAGACCTTCTGCAGACAGTTTACAAAAAATCCTGTGTCTAAGGTTAAGATATAATAGACAATAGACAATGTATCATTAAGAATGTATTTATATATATCAGAGACCTGCTTTACCAAATATTGTTGCAAGCTTATTGGATGAATTCCAAAAGTTGGAGAGCACTATCTTCAACAACATAAAATGAAATATTAACACTATACACTCTTTTGTCTCTCTGTCGTACAGGTGTCCTGAGATGACGGAAGTAGAGCCGGTGTTGGACTTTGCCTCCTCGGGACGCTCGGGGAGGAGAAACGCGCTGCCTGACATACTGGGCTCTCCAGCAGGCGTAAACCCTGGAGACCTGCCTCTTAAACTAGCTGAGATGACCCTCAAAGGTAAAGTTGACTATTTGTACTTTTTGTCATTTTAGTAAAGAGCACAAGACAAAGTAAAACTGTGATTAGATGCATGAGCTACTAGCTAATGTAATAAGTTAGGGCACAAGCTAATGTTCTGTATTATGGGGAGACACTACTACTTTAACTAATTTGCATACATTTGCCACTGCAGGTGAATAGGATAAAAAGTTAACTGAGACATATCACCACAGAACTTCTCCAGTTAATGACTTACATCAAAAAATGTTGAAATAAGATGAAAGATGAAAGAAGACATGGAAGCAAAATAGTCCAAAATGTCAAAACTGACCAGTACATGAAAATACAATATTTGTGCCCGTAGCGTTGCCTTAAACAGTAACTGCATCATTTTGAATGTAGGCTCTGATTCATTCTACTAGTTTGTTGTATATTGATAGATCTTTATCAATATATGATACAGACAACCCTCCCTCAAATGTGAATTGTGCCCTTTTTCTCACTTACCCCCCAAAATGTCTGTTCTCGTTCCTGCTTCCAATTACCCAGAGTGCTGCCAGGCTCAGACGAAGGTATAGCAAATATTTTACGGATGGAAACTTCCAGGGAGGAGTCATCTTAAGTCTAGCATGACCGTGGTCACAAGGCGCAGAGACAGAAAGACAAGGACAACTAGAACAACAGAGCGCATACCTCTGCCAAGGCCCCACTGTCTCCTTAAATTCAATCAAACTGCACCGAATTTCTCAAAGACATCAGTCCCCGGAAAAATTTTACATCTCACAATGTTGACCAAAATGAAAACTTCCTAGATCCCCCTTTGATCCGGATCTGCACCAAAATATAATGGTCTGTTTCCTGACCCAACAAGTGTCATAGAAATAAATTCTGCTCTTTTTTTCAACTATACTTTGTGTGCATCATTTCATCGTACTACTAAATTCAACCAATAGATTTGTAATTTGGGAATCATCCTCACGAGTTTGAAAGTGATTCCAATTTCTCTGTTTATTTAACATCTTGATATTATAGTCATAACTCACAAGCCAGTCACAATAGATATATTGCAAAATAATAGCAATATTTTGTACAGTATGTGCCTGGATATTTTCAGTGTATCCACTAATTAATCTTGGATGTACAAGAAACACACTTGGTTTTGTGGTTCTGAAAGGGGCTTAGAAGTGTTTATTCACACAATAGAAGCTGTAAAATGACTCATAACTAAAAAATGTCAACAGCTGGTGATGTAATAACCATGAAGTCATTGGTATTGATCAACCAAAGCTTTAGACAGTTCCTTTGACATGAAAATAACAGCAACATACTGTATTTGTTATTGCCTCTTGTGGGCTTTTGTGTGCAGATGGTCCGGGAGGGGCCCAATCGCCCACGGCGGAGGATCCTCCAGCACCACCGGAGGGCTCGGAGGGGAAAGAGGGATCGTAGAGACTAGTTTCTTTACCTCCCTGGAGACCTGCAGAGATCACCTGAGGGACGGGATGAGGAGCAAGATGGAAGGGCGTGAACTGCGGGTGAAAGCTTGACGATCTGTGGAGAGTCAGTCTGTCTGCAGAGCAGCTGAACCACGGAGGGAGCGCGACGGACCGACTCCCCAGTGACTGAGGCCAGGAGCGTGGGACTCATTGGGACTATCTGAACACAGTCAGACGTTACCTAGTTATGAACCACTGAGTTTGTTTGTGTGTGTGTTAGTCATACACCCACTTTGGACACTACACTGAGAATCAAAAGGACTGTGACAGATTGCTCACAAGTATTTTTGTATGATTCAATTAAAACTAAAGAAAAAGAGGAATTCCTAAGTCAAACTGGAAGATGTACGATTTCCTGCTGATTTGTGTTTTGTCGTGATGTGTCATTTTATGCTGACAGGAGGGGGTTTGACGGCAGCCTGCTCTGCCTCAGACCTTTTCAAGATGCAAATAGTAGATTTGAGAAAACTGGGAATTCCCGCTCTCTTATGCTTTTGCACTAAATGTGTATTATCCACAAAACAATTTCAAATCTGAGGTCGTTGTCTGTTTATCTGCATTGTAAATGTACAGTTTCTAAACCCTCCTACCTAGACTGTTTTGAACCGAGCAACAACGACCTGGGATTTGATTCCTTTTTGTAGGTGTCCATATGGTGCAAGGTGAAAATATGAAATAGCAAATCTTGAGACATTCCTGTAGAGAATAGTTTCCCACTGCCAACAAGGTACACACGGTTTCATTATTGTACCGAAAAAAGTCTGCGATGTCCTTTTAAGCTGCTTTTTAAAGTCTCTTCATTTTCCAAACCTCTGAAAATGTGTCTAGCGGCAGTTTATAGCCAAGAACGTTGTGTTCTTTGTCTGTGAAGTACCATTATCCACTGTTCTGGGCTGCTGATATTTCCTCAATTTTAATAGGGGGTATCACTGCGTAAAATGTAAAAGAAGAAAAAAAAAAAAACCTTTTCTAACATTCTGCAAACCTGCACATGCAGATCCTATAATCCTGACAGGAGAAGCGCTCAGTTTTTGCGCAAACCTCTGCAGGGCTTTTATTTATTAATTTTTCTCTGCGTGAGGCTCCACACGTGCATCACATGGTGTCAACAGCATATGCCCACTGCCTGTGCACGGGAGCGAGCATCAAGCAACACCACCGCAATGTGTTTTGAGCACTGAAAACGGCAGCACACTTGCCTTCTGCCTCACCAGAGTGTGTTCACACTCATCAACACATGAGCTGAGCTGTGAACAAGGAGGCAAGACGGAGAGAGAGTGGAAAAACACAACGAGAGGCCACAGTTTGTCAGCTATCGACCCGCTGCTACTGCTGTATATATACCGTGTTGTAGTATAATCCCTGTGTCATACATGCTACCTGTATGATTACCAGACTTTATTCACATACTGTACCCGCAAAGAAACAATGTTCTGTAACTGTTTGTATTTGAGGATTTCTTGCCGATGGCTGTATCTTTATGTGGATGTGTTTCACAAATGCAACAACTGCAACAGCCTGGCGTGCGGCTGCTGTGTGACCTGTTTCAGATGCTGTACACTACTAAAGCTGACGAGAATGTGTTTGTAGTCTGTCTCAAGCTGTACCGTCGATACTTTTTGATGATGAATCAGAGGTGTAACTTTGTAGTGTCCTGATCTCCACGTGGTGCGTTTATTTTACTTAGCTGGATTGAATCCCTTGTGTTGATTCTATCTGCTGGTGAGAATTGCCATATTAAACCCAAAAGCTTTACATATACAACTGTTTGATGAATGTTTTATTCCTGGTCTCCTGTGCTTTGCCTCTGGCATCTAATTGGAAATATGAGCAATGTTTAAATGATAACTATATAATATAGTATCAGTGTTAAGCTATGCTACCTGGGCAGTAAGATACTGCACATATAAAGATGGACAACATGTCTCCACTTCCTCCCACAATTCAGAAATGAAGCCAATCTGGATAAGAAAGCCGCCATCTTGTGCATTTGAAGCTGCAGTCTGTGCAGTATTGATCAGGAAATGGAGCCAAAGTATCTAAGTCCTGTTGATACACAAGTTCGACCAATCACGAGTCAATCTTAACTGTCAATCATGATATTTCACCCCATTTCAACACTTGTAAATACAACAGTGTGACGAGGACTACCTAAAATGACAGAAATCATTTTGGAGAAGGAGCAGGAGGCGGGATTTATGACCTATACTACCACCAGGAGGCGATCAAGATGCTTAGGCTTCCCTTTTGGGGAGCATTCATGTTGTCCATCTTTGTATACAGTCTGGTCCAGACTGAAACAGCTCAAGTATTGGAAGGATTGTCATTAAATAAAAACAGATTTCAGTGATAAATCCTCCTGACTGTCATATGTCATATTCAACTATTTATTATGTCAGCAACCTTTATTCTATCCAGTACTCTGGTTTAGGAAAGAACACCTGCAAAACTTAATTTTGATGCTAATTAGGAAAAACTGCCAAAAGGTTAAGCTGAGAGGAAATATCACAATGCTATCATTCATGACTATGCAACCATGTTAGATAGTGTTATTAAGATTCAGCTTAATGTGCTGCCTCAGAGCTGCTATTGTTGCTAACAATAGTTTTAGTCAACATGGACCAGTAGCAAGTGAATCCCCAAATTAATTCTAGCTGCTGTTCCCATTGTAAACTCATTTAGCTAATGAGAGCATGGGCACAGCATGCTAACTAGTTAAAGGTCCAGTGTGTAAGATTTAGGTGAAAGGGATCTATTGGCAGAAACTGAATATGAAATGATCCAAGTGATGTTTTCAATGATGTGTTTCATCTAAATTGTACGAATCGTTGTTTTCTTTTCTCTGGAAGGAGTCCTTTATATTTTAATACTTTATATTTACAGGAGTAGGTCTCTGTATGAAGGCCACAATGTTTTTTACATTAGTCTAGACTGGACAAATTAAACCTTTTGAGTTTCCATGACAACTGAAGACTACCACAGGTTCTTTTTTATGTTTGGAAGGGGAGGGTGAGGTGAGGGGTAATCAGCTGCAACATGCAACTTCACCACTAGATGTCATTAAATTCTACACACTGAACCTTTAAAGTGGCAGGTAGATAAATCAGCAAAAGCCAAATCTAGGGGATATCCACTGATATTACATGGCAAAGTCTGTTTTTAGGTTTAGAGAAGTATGACTGAATAACAGTTGTATACAGACTTTTGTGGATGCTTACGGAACAACATGGAATTAAATACACTTCCTCAAGTGATCTCACTTGAGTCAGCATCATTTAGTTGGTTGAAGCTATATCACAGCACAGACTGTATAGGCTGTATAAAGATGGACAACACACCTCCCATTCCTCCCGAAATTAAGTCAAATATAAGAATATAAGAACTACCTAAATTGACAGAAAAACATATTTCAGCAAAAAAATATATTCAACATGTACTTTGTACTTTTAAGTTTACCAATGTCCAATGCGTTAACATGGTAAAGGCGGGATTTATAGCCTATACAGAAGCCAACCACAAGGGTGCGATCAAAATGCCTATTTTGCTTCACTTTGGGGAGCTGTTGTCCACCTTTATATAAGGTCCATGTATCACACAGAAATCCCTTGTGCAAAAGGTCAGCAGTAGAGTTGCATTGTGGGAAATGAAGGTGCTGGTTTTTACAGAGGAAGGAAAAATGCCTTGAATAAAAAATACAATACTTCTAGTTGTATTTCATCAGTTGTGATCATCATCATTAACCCAAACTAATTGTTGTCACAATTCCATGAATGAATTTTACCCATTGATGGTGTGAAGATAAAGCTATTTTCTATTCATCACACAAATGTCTCAAAACCTAATTGACAAAATGCCACAACAAGGTTTATGATCACTTGAGGATCAGATGAGATCAAATGACTTCACTCTCAGGCAAAAGCATTACATTTTAAACCATGATGTCTCAATTAAGAAGAGTGGCATGCATGTTGATGATCACAGCCTCATCACATTTCACACTTAGAAGTATGTTGTCGTTGTATCCATCAGTTTTATATTGTGTATAATGAGCATTGAGGCCTCTAGTGGATCCTTGCAGTACTACAGAATTAAAATGTTCTTTTTATGTCAATTATAACAGATGCACAATTAACATATTTTACCATAACCTGTTGGTCAGACATTTGCCCATTATGCAGAGCTAAGTAAATGCAATATAAAAATCAAATAGCAAAAATAAGTGATACACTATCTTTCCAGGTTCTACCAAACACTACATGGCTCTGTAACTGTAATCACGATCACAGTCTTTGACAAAGGGCACCTGAGATGGTGCCAGTCATTTTCTGTGTCTGAAGTGTCAAGTAAGAGTGTCTAAGGAGCACTTGAAGGCAGCACAAAGCAAGACATGCACTCTCCTTCACAATAGCCATGTTAGTACAGGCCTGTTACATAATGCAGCAGTTCATTCGGGCATGCAGCAGATGGAGACATCCACCAAATTATTATTTTCCCCCACATCATGCTTTCTCACCTACAAGAGAATGTCTTTGTTGTGTCTGCTACAAAGAAAATGGCTGAGATGCAACCACTTTACGATGATAATAAGAAGAATGCCCTAAAGTACATAAATATGGAGACTAAAATCACGATTTGATCTGATTTTGGTTTTATATTCCTGTGCCTGTCTTTATGTTTTAAAGCCAGTGAGGAGTTTGACAGGGACACACCCAGTATTGTCTCAAGGCAGTGAGACATGATTCCGCAAAAAAACAGGCAATTGGGTGGGTGGGTGMGTGTGTGTGTGTGTGTGTGTATTTTCGTCTAGCTGTGCCCCAGCATCCACCCCTGAAATACATGACAGGAGATGAGACCATACATAAATACATACACGCACCCAAGGGCTCTTTGTCTCTGCACAGACACAACAGCTTTAAACCACATCTGTGTGTAATACACCATGTCTTCGAGCTGATGCTGTGCTTAATTGATTACATAACAGAACCATTATTTATTAAAGACGGAGCAATGGCTCCGCTGCATGTATCATTCATGTCTCCATCTCGGACATTTATTCAAGAAGGAGAGAAATGTGTGATCCATTTGGGGCTTATTGTATTTTGCTAAAACATCTCTGTTAGTCTCCACCTCCATTCTCATGCATCCTCCTCTCCTCTGAGGTAGCTCCCTCGCCCAGACTGCTGCTACGTAACTTGTTACTAGGGTAACCTAGCCTTGGAAGAAGCTCCAGCCTTATTGCACTGTATGCAATCAGGCATTTTAAGTGCATGACAGAGATTTTGTTCATGGCCATGATGAAGTCATGAGGCTGCATACGCCAAGGTGAGGACAAATGTAACCTTGTCTTTTATTGTTAAAATAAAGTAAAAGGTGGAACCAATATCTAAAAATAGCTTTGTAGTGAATTTCCATAAATACCATGATCCACATTCATTTCTTCCAGTGTTGCACTTTCAGATCGACAATAACAAGACAGAGTGTTTCTAATCTTGCAGAGGAGAGGAAAGCTCTCTGTCTTTTTACATAATTGAATAGCAATCATATAAGCGGTCTGCTATTGGCTTTCCTCAAGGAAACAGTCCTGTAATTGCCTCACACAAATGCACTGCGGTTCAAATTAGAGCCGAATGCTGTGTTATCAATCGAAGCTAAGTGAATGAACAGCAGCAGCAACTGCTGTGTGCTCCACGGCTCAATTCCTCTCAATCTCTATCTCCTTCTGTCTCTCTGGGCATCTCGCTGCCCTGATGACCAGGCCACAGAGAGAGTGATCCAGCTGCTGTGGAGGAGACGGCGCGTTTTAGAGAGAGAGAGATGTATGGAGAGAAAGACCGTGAGAGGAAGAAGGGGTGGGGGTGTGGATCATGAGACTGGCACTGAGACCACGCAGACATGGGTCACAGAGGATGCCAGGCAGCAGGCAGACAGCCCAGCGAACACAGAAGCCTTCACGTGGAAGTCAACGTGCCAGCTCTGATACACAGGAGCCTTGGAAGGAAAGATGGGGGAGAAAGGAAGAGAGAGAATACAACCAACAGTGCAGTGGGAAGAAAGAATTTGAAAGCTGGGTCTGGACAATGTCTCCTTATGTATCACCATTCACCACCAAACTATCTACACCTGCTCGTCTCAAAGCAAAAGGCTGTTTTTCTAACATTTATCTTAGTTTCTACTTTTTTACACTCAAATTCCTATTTAGTTTTTTGTTGTTATTTTTAAATGCAGAGTAATAACCCAAAACAGCTGGACAGAAAAATAGTTTTACCTCTAACAAGACCCAATATTTTATCACCAAGAACCATGAATAATTCCCTGGGAAGTAAGTGACCCAAATAAATTCTGGGTTCCGCCCCCTGATCCGGATCTTCTTCAAGGTTGTATGTATTTGACCCCTACTGCATCTAGTGAAGCTTATTAGTGTATTTTTATATGTTGTGCACGTAACATGTGCAGTAATTGTGTACGTAACATGCACCAAGAGACACTTGGCTGTTTGTTTCACACCTGAATATAAAAGTTACACAACATTTATCCCTATTTTGCACTCACTTCCTCACAGGAGATCAATCGTCCAATCAGCTTGTTTGAGGCATACCCATAGGACATGTTGCTAAGATTTAAGATGCGGGTGTGCGCTCTGTCACCTGCAGTTACCCGTCACCGTGATGGTCTGCAGAGACATTTCTGTGACTCCTCTCAAATGCATCATTCTCCTACATTTTGGATCAGCTCACTGTTGGTTTTTGTCCTCACAACTGCTGGGTAGCTGCCACGAAAACTCGTTGTCCCCACAGGACAAAACCTAAAGCTAAATTGGTGAACAGATGGTGATTAAACCTACTTAAGATCAGCACATCATCACTGACATTAACGTTTAACTGTAGCGTGCCAACGTTAGCATTCAGCTCAAAGCATTGTTGCAGCCTCATGGAGCAGCCATAGGATGATTAGTGGCTCTTAGTCTTGTTTCTCTATGTTTTTCCCCCGTTTGGTCCAGTTGACACTGAACTGAGTGGAAAGTAAAGTGACATTAAATTTTTATCATCATTATGAATAAATGTGCTATATCTGATAAAGTCACAGAAAGCTGTCACATACATTAAAGAGCCTCAGGTCGTATCAAACATCAGGAATCTGGTGATGCTATATGTTGTACTTCATATGAACGGGTGCTATGGAAAAATACTACAACGAACAGTGAAACTCGACTTGAAACAAGTACATTTACACCATGTTTCCACAGTGATCCACACACGAATGCAGCTCCAGTTGAATTTGAATGTTGGGGCTTATGGACAGCAGTAGCTGCTGGGTCTTCTTGTATACAATCTGTGCATGTCCACGTAATGATGATTTTTTGTATAAATGAAAGATGTTTTACAAATGTATGTCATCAGTTGAGACACATTGTTTCTTTTGTTCCTATTATAAAATGTTATGATGATAACCAAAAATATAGATTAATATTGCCAAACTTCTTTAATGAAAATGAAGTGTAAGGTGTAAGACTATCAACTGACTGACAGTTTGTGCCCGACAGTTTAAAAGAGTGAGAGTCTGGGATGAGACTTTACTCTCTGTGTAATCTGTGAACAGGCCATTGAGCAGCAGCCAAGCATCACTCGAGTTAAGTTAGTGTGACCGAAACATCATTCTGATCCTCCGTCCTCGATGTATGGAAGAGACCAAGGCTGTCAAAAAACGAGAGGGGTCGGTGCTGGGCGAATTAATTTGTTGAAAAGGAGATCAACTTGTTTATTTCTCCATCAGACTTTTTTTCTGATCCAAGCTTGGTAGTGACTTCATTCTTTGTACAGAGATGATCACAAGGCAGCGAACGCACACACACACTCACACATAGACATATGACATCATCCGAGCAGTGACGGGGCGGAGACTGGCGGCGTAGGCCTGGCATCTCACACACAGAGACACAGTGGGAGAGCACATCTCCTCTCCCTCTATAAGCTCTCTGTCAGACAGCTCAGCTTGGCATCACTCTCCCCAATAAGATGAAACGAGCATTAGCCTGACCCCGTTCTCACGGAGACTGAGTGTCTCTTTGCACAAACAATATGTGCTGCCATCTCTGTGGTCTGCCTTGTCGGGCCTAGTCCATCTCCTGCCTATTCTCCAGCAGATTCTGGATACAAACATATACAGACGGATGAAAGGGAGAGACTTCTTCTCTTTCTGCTGTATTCTTAATTGGTTATCTTCAGCATAAACGTCTGAGTGAAGTCTGCCCCCGTGCCTGTCCCATCTCATCAATATTCTCTCTGCACAGAGAATAGGTCAGTGGATTCAGTGCAGACTGCCTTTTATAGATTTTTATTGGCCAGAACATGCATGTATTGAACTACTGGCACTTACTGTATTGAGCTACTAGCAGTGATTTTGTTTTCTACCTCTTAAGGGAACAACAAACGTGCTCCCAGAGGATGAAGTTTTAGAATTGAGGGTTCTCTGAATTTTGCCTGACCTACTTGTAACCAGACATTTTCTTGAAATTATAAGGAGCTGGATGTGAGCAAGCAAATATCCAAGAACTTTTCTTACCAGTCTCCTTATGAAAATTGCAGGGAATGTCGGGGTGAGTCCATGTGAATACGTCAGAAAAATGTCTGGAAGGGATGGAGCGCGTTCCTTACACATCTGGAAGAATACAAATATGTCAGGATGAGAAAGAGGAGCCATACACGTAGAAGATGCTGATGACAATGGTTTTCTATGTGCTATGAATAAAAAACCACTGTTCTTTCCTCGGCAGAAATAATAAGTTACGTTCTGCCTCCTGCATGCTCTACACACGACCCACCACGTACCTGAATGTATATTTTTTTCTTCATGTGTGAAAGGCAAAGTCCAGAGAAAGTCTGGACCCAGTTTTCTTGACATTTTCTGGAGTTCATTTTTTAAACGGCCTAACACCCAAATTTAATCCTTTACTCAACAAGAGCTGTCTTCAGTGGTGGGAAACAATGCCAGTCTCTTAACATCTAGCGATGGTTGCACGCAACTAGCCCGCCTTGTCACCATAGTGTCAGTTGTAAAGATGTAGCGCTGCTCAGGATATTTGTTTAACCCCTCTTCTTAAACATAACAATGACTGACGTTCTCGAGTGGTAACCATTACCATCAACATTTCCTGTCAAGAAACCAGGTTTAGTGGCAGAGAAAAACATTTTCCAACAAAACTTTTCAGTGCCTCTTCTTGAAACTGCCTGAGCTTGTCAGATGGGAATTTGCAAATGCAGAGAGAAGTGGCTGACAGTTTCTTCAGCATCCAGCTACCTCTTCTGTAATGAATTTAATGAAATGCAATCAAGCGCCATTGTCACAACCATGAAAATATGCCTTGTCTAGTGCTATAGCTACTTCCACATCAACTGTTACAGATATGCCTGCTGTCCACATTACTCCATAAATGCTGGCGCCATTAAAATGTTAGAAAAATAACACCAGTTCAGTAAATCATTCAAACATTTTATATAAATCTCACATGTGACAAACATTGACTAAAAAATCTTAAACCAGGTGGGATTAACGCAAAGTTTTCAAACTTCACTCTGCACCAGACTGTTTATAATAAAATCTGAACACAATGTCCAACAC